AATCTTTCAAATCCAGACCCCTGAGCCAAACTACTCATTATATTGGAAGTCTCAGGCTGCCAAATGAAGTACCTAGTTAACTCTGGCAGCCAGGCCAGCAGCCTGCCACTCAGATGTCGGCAAAGACAGGCGACTGCAGCAACCCAAGCTCGGATCTGCTGCTCGCTCTACCTGGAGGCGAAACTCGGGAATGGAAATTGGCCATCACCGCTTCACGGGTCCCACATCCCTCCCTAGACCCCGCCCCTTCGCTTGGCCACGCCTCTTGCGTTCAGGCACGCCCTCACGCTCCCCTGCGCGTTCAGCCAATCACCGGTGACGCTTGCCTTCCGTCTCCGCCAATGCAGGAGGCCTTTGCTGTCCTGGTTCCACCCCTCTCAAGAGCTGGGGCCGGAAGATGGCGGCGGCCGCGGAGTTGAAGCTGCTGGAGAAGTCCCTGGGGCTGAGTAGGGGAAATAAGTACAGTGCCCAGGGCGAGCGACAGGTGAGCTGCAGAGGCGGCGCGGAGGGGAAGGAGCGGACTGGAGCGGGGCCTGCCGAACCCGGCGGGGTTGGGATGCAGCTCCGCCGCTCCCACGTGTCTGCGTTCGAGCTGCGGTTCGGCTGGTCCTCGCTAGGCTTCTGTCACTCTAGGTCCTGGAGGGACGAAGGGGAACCTGCTCAGGACGGGCTCGGCGTGAGCTTTACCTCCAGTGACATTCTCAGCATCCCATTCAGCCATCACGAAACCATTTGAGGGAAGGCACAAAAGACCTTTCGATGGAGCAAGGTGGAGGCCAGCGTTCGCCTTCACCGGCTGCTCTTTGCCCAAATTGCATCTTTGGTTAATTGCGCAACCACTGCCGTCAGCGCGAACCGGGACCCGGTGGTACTGCACTGGGCCTGGGGAATTCTGCGTTGAATAAAGGGGACACGCCCCCTCCCCTCTAGAAGCTTGCTTTTTGGCTGGGTGGACAAATTTGGCAGTGATTTAAATTACAGTAGCGGAAAGTGCTACTTTGACGCGGGTATGGCCAAGGGAACATGTGCTGGGGGCTTGGCTGGCTCTGGAGGATTCAGGGAAGGCTTCTTTTTTTTTTTTTTTGAGGCCTGTAATCCCAAATTCGGTTTGCTTTGTGCAGAGAATGAGGGAAAGTTACAGGGTGTGAGACTGACTAATGAAGCATAAAGACTCAGATTTCCCAGGGTATTGAAAAGAACATTTGTGTTTTATGAAGGTCATTGTTGGCCGAGGAGCGAATGTATTACAGCAAAAAAAAGTGCTGTAGAACACTACTTTGATGCATTCTGATGTTTCTGGCCCCTTTGAGGTTTTTCCAAACTAGTGTGTTTTGGCCTTAACTTTTTCTTTCCTTGGTTGATGTTAAATCTTGTCTCAATAGTAGCAATAT